TTGACACCGAAATACATCCGTACGTGGGATCTTGGTGGTGGGGTTTGTTGGCGACGTTTTCGCTGATGGGCTCAATGCAGCATTTCATCTTCTCGGTATCGGCATTCTCGTCGCCACGATTTTCATCAGTCTGCACCATGACGAGGTTGTAGAGGTACGTGGCGCTGATGAGAAAAAGTGATCATGGAGTTTCTGTGCTAATAGGTCAACTGCAGAAACTGAGACCATTTTCCGAAAAGGTTCGAGAGATTCCCGGCGGATTCCTCATCCCGATCGCGATTTTGATTCTCATCTCGTTCCCACCGCTGTTTGGACACGAGATCGTCGCTCTTTTGTGCGGTGTCGTCTATGGATTATGGGTTGGTTTTGCGATTGTGGCCGCAGGAACCTTCATTGGTGAAAGTGAGTTGGCCCCCCTCGGTTGGGCATCTGGCGGTTGAGGAAGCGTGCTGACAATTGTGACAGTCGGAACCTGGTTCGCATTCAAGTACACACTGCGACGTAAGGCTCAGAAGCTGGAGAGGACGAACCTGAATTACGGCGCCCTCGCGCGGCTGACCCGAGATGGTGGTTTCTGGGTACGTCTCCCCCGTTTCCCGGAGCATTACAGTCTCAATTCTAACACTATTCTCAGATCGTCTTCATCATCCGATTTTCCGTGATCCCGTCCCACTTCTCGACGGCAGTCTTCTCGACTTGCGACGTCAAGTTCTGGCACTTCGCCGTCTCGACCTTCCTGACGCTCCCGAAGCAGATCATCCTCGTCTACCTCGGCGTCCTCCTCGTCGAGAAGAAGCAGAACGGCAATAACACCATCAAGAACGTCGTCTTCGGCGCGACATTCGTCCTGACTATCGCCCTCGCCGTCTACATCTGGGTCAAGATGCGCCGGGTCAAGAAGATGCTCTTGGCGGAACAGGAGCAGAGGAAGATGCAGCAGCAGATCGAGATGTTGCCGCAAAAGGTTGAGGTCGACGCTGTTGAGACGGAGGTGATTCCCCTGCAGCCTGGCATGCCAGGGATGGCTGCAACGAGGAGCGACAGGCCGGGCTACCCACAATGGATATGAGAGGGCCAGAAATATTGGGTCACGGATGAGCGGAGTTGGTTGGATGAAAAGCCCATGGCTGACATGACGGACTTGGAACACACGACTTTTTTGGGATTTTTGTAAGGCGTTGGCGCGGGCATGCGCATACTGGTTATCACGATAAACATGCGCTTGATGGGATCGGGTGTCCCCCGAATATGATTTTCTTTCCCCCAAACAAGATTTGCCTCCTGAATATTGATCATCGCGAGAATGGATGAACCGTTCAACTCTCATTTTGTACAATAGCGACTGCGGACCAGAGGTGAGGCTCTTGCTGTTTCGCCAAAGGTGGGTAGAGCGGTGCCAAGTAAGAAATGACCTGTTGGGACAGAGGGGTGGCTTAGTCTGGAGTCTCAGAGCGGTTTCCAACCGCCTGACTAGCAGAGTCCTCACTACAAAACCGAATTCGGCATGTTTCTTCACATCACACGCACAGATCGGGCACCGCGAAGGTAACGGAGATTTTTCATCATTTAATCGTAAAGACTATCAAATTGTCCAAAGTATCCAGAGCCCACTCCGCAAATTGCCATCTCGGCGTTTCCGGTGGGGCGGGCCACTGCAGAAGCTCAGTCCGGTGAGCCCGCCCACCCCATCTTTCCCCACGTCCAACTCGCCGATGTTAAAACCAAAATAAACGTTGATCACCGATCAGGGCGGGAGACCCTTGCCAAGGTCTTCTGCGAGGTGAATGCCGGAAGGGATTTCTGCCAGCGAGTTGGGGGACTTGATAACCTAAGGCGTAAGAGTGAGGGGTAGGTTGTTGAGTGTTCCGACCAGCAGGGTGTCCTTGCGTCACCCTTGTGTGCTGATACTTTTGTCGCTGGAAACCTTGGAGGGTTCCGAAGTTATCAAGCCGTTTTACTGAAGGGTGTTCAATGTTTGACAGGTCGTTGTAACCTGTCTGGAGTTGTGCCGAGTCGGACAGGTCTTGAAACTTCCCAATAATTACTGTGTAAGTCTCTATCCTCTTCAAAACAACGAGGTCTTCGTCATCTTTCTGACCCTCAAGGATGTTTTTCTTTTTCTTCTAGGCGGCTTCCGTGATTCATAATTCGTAATTCGTCCTTCGTAATTCGTGATTCATAATTCGTGATTCATAATTCTTGATTTGTGCTTCGTGTTTCGTAAAGCTTTCCTTCCGTTGCTCCATCGAGATAGCAATTGACGGCGGTAGATTCAATCAGGAGCGGCCATGGTTCTCATTGGAATGCGTCAGAGCGTTGTTGTCTTTTGCGATCTCATAGCTCTCGGGAGCAGCTCCATCATGGATCATCATGGATGTGTAATGTAATGCGATGCACGCTCTTTGCTTGTAAATGCTTGCTGAAGTTTGTGGTCGTTCTCAAAGCCATAGCTGTATTTTGAGCCGTATTGTAGTGTTTTTTGAGTCGTAGTTGTATCAAAGTCATAGTTGTAGTTGTAGTTGTAGTTGTAGACTTATAGTAGCTGTAGTTTCAATGGTGTTACCGTCGTCTAGTTGTTATCGACGCATTTGGCAAACGTGTTGAGCAAGGTGTGAAGACAAGACTTGTGTCCATGGGACAATATATGTCTTTAAGTCGACTTGCTCCACTTTGAGTCTCTCCATCAAAGTCGGTACAACCATGACTGGGCAAGATCGGAGAGTGTCTCCTCCTGTGCTAAGCGCTTCATTTGGATCTTGTAATGGTGCTTCTGGAGTGCCCGTTCTCGAGCTTGCTCAATCTTTTCCATCTTGGAAGTCAGGTTGCGGGTGAGAATGCAGATGTCAAAAACACCCGGGTTTTTGTATTTTGACTCGGCGCGGGCTCTCTTGGCGTCGTACCGCTTGTTGATCTTCGACTCCTGGCTGATGGCCTGGCGGTCGATCTTCTTCATATTAGAGTCGAATGCATTGTATAGAGACTCCCGCACTGGTTGGCCGGCGGGCGCGCCGTGCTGTGGAGTTTGAATGTGCATCTTGGAAAACGAAAGCATGTTGTAAGAGCAAGTGGTTGATGTTTTTGTGATTGAGCGAGTGAGGAAGGCAATTGACAAGATAGCTTTGAGGATGAAGATGGGGATGAAGAAATTGACTGGGTTGCCACGATTCATTGCCTACATGCGATGTATTTATTACTTTGAGTTTTATTTCGGAGAAACATGATGTTGGTGAGCCATACATGTCTCTGGATTTGAGTTGAGAAACTTGAGGTCTGTTTATGACTCTACTGAGAACCTTGCTTCTCTACAACACAGTCAGGGTGGGCCTACATCAGCCAATGTGCAGTACCAATAACTATGAAAATTACATTTGTTACCCAGACAAGACCATTACGGTTTCCAGACTCTTTGAATCAGCAATATGAGCAGCGACATATATGAGTTGGACTAATGTCTGTTAGTTTGTTTGCTCTTCGCAACGCCAAGGTGTGGTTTGTGCACCATTGCAGGAAACAACCAAACGCAGAAGAAGCTTGGCCAGCAAAGCAGCCAATCCAGAACATTACAGATTCAAGCTTACAAGTTACAGCGCATTCGTGGCCCACTTTCAGGCTCTCAAGCCCGCCGGCCCCGTTCACAATCTGTCCGCAGCTCCAGAGAGGGGCGCTCATCGGAGGTTCCAGAGCCCCGGACCCAGGCTGGGTGAACAGTGCCCGTGGTGGTTTGGGGGCTGGCGGTGGTAAAAATAGTGACAACGCACCCGCGGTGAGTCGCGGGACTCCGCAGTACGTACTCGTACCTTACCTGACCAGGGGGGACGTCAGTGGCTTTGCCCGAGACAATTTCAACGCTGGTCTTAGTGCGAGACAAGAACGGGCCCGGCGGCCGATGGCTTAGAACGGGGAACAACTTTGAGTCCTCTAGATGCAAGTTCAATTCTTGGGAGATATCATGATTTGCATGTCTTCTTGGGATGATGCAGTAAACGTGGTGTGCGTTGCATGCAATGAGGCTCAATTACAGTTGAAGACTGTACCCTGGCATTGCCTGACAAGGTACGACACAAAATATGCCCGGGCCTCCACCATGACCTCATACGCGAATGAAACAGTGCTGTTCCCTGAGGAGGAGCTGAGGCCAGCGGCCTCCAGCGCCGAAATCGCGAAAGAAACACACAAAGAGAAGTCGGAATGCAATTGCCATGCATGTGTACCTTACCTGAAGAGCCAGTCTGTCCAGGTCTACCGCAGAGGTTCCATTGCGTCTAGACCACTTGGCAAGACAGAAGAAAGCCCCAATTTCCGGGCCTGACTGATTAATTACGCCCCAACGGTGAACCGCCAGTTCATCTCCAACTCAGCCCATCGAGGGTGGCGCTGGCAAACAACACACATCTTGCCCCCCATCCCCTCGCGTCCCCCTTGATCGTCGAGGCACTTACGACACCGATGCCTCGGACTCCTGGCTTGATCTCCCCATCTCCCCATTCCAACCCCTGCACTCACCAACCAACTGCAAGCCGCGCGCGACAGGCGTGTCACTACCGGCTTTGACCTACCACTAATTTATCGCTATCGAGGGGCCTGGCGCAGGGAACTTGTGCAGCACTGCAAGAACCTGGCCATCTTTCTCGGCAGAGGGAGCCCGGCCAGCTGAGAACCTGATTCAACCCGAACCCTTTTTTTTTCTCTTCCCTTCCAGGCCTTGGATTCTGGCCGCAGCGGCGACCCCTTCCGTTTTTCCCTTCCCATTGTCTTGACAATCCATTACGAAAGCAATCCTGGCAGTGACAGCTGCTGCGCCTCCTTCAGACCACCTTTCGTCTCTTCTCCCGATCAGCTTCCAAACTTTTTTTTCTACCACCCATCGAATCTCTACAGCCGACTGGCCATCATAAATAAAAGTCTACGCTTACCTACTCTTCGCCCTGGGAGACACCGAGTAATTCGCTTACCCGAAACCACAAAATCCCATCCCGCTTAACCCACCCAACTACGACGTCATGGCTACTGTGCCGCAAGATCCCCCAACTGCGGCCGCGACCGCCAATCCTGACCCTACGAGCAGCGACGCCAAGCCTACAACCGACCCTGCGGAGACCACAGCACCGGCATCCGAACCAGCACCCACGACCACGGAATCAGGTCCGGACGCAACAGCTGAGAACGCGAATGGGGCATCTCCAAACGGCCATGCTGCGACGGACGATCAGAAGCCATCGGACGCGCCTGCTCCGGCGCCGACGACCGCTGCCTTCAAGGTGAACAGGAAGCCGGTCGGGCAACAAGCAGACCTGCCGCCTAACACCGCCACGACAACGAGTACCAGATCACCAAGGACGTCGACGAGTGCTTGTGCTTGCGATACGCGCGGCACTTCTATCGAGGTCGACAACTCGAAACCTGTCGACTTCGAGGGCGAGATCCCCACCAACAACCACTTGCCTTCCCCCGAGACCTTGAAGAAGATTGAGAACTATGTAGTCCTGGACAGACATGGCAAAAGCCACCCTTTCAAGAGCCTCTACACTGGACGCAATGTCGCAAGGCGTGTCCTCATCATCTTCGTCCGCCATTTCTTCTGCGGGGCAAGTCAACCGTCAACCGTCCCTGGGTTTTGATTTCGCGCTAACCTCCTGCCTAGAACTGCCAGGAATTTCTGCGCACCCTGTCCGAGTCTATAACCCCCGACGCCCTCCTTGGCCTGCCCATGAGCACCTTTATCGCTGTTGTCGGTTGCGGCAACCCAGGTCTGATCGACATGTACCTCCAAGAGACAGGCTGCCCATTCCCCGTCTACACAGACCCTACGCGGCGCCTGTTCGACAACCTGGGCATGACACGCACTCTCGCCCTGGGCGAGCGACCAGCCTACATGCGCAAGTCGATGTTCAAATCGGCCGCAGAGAGCGTCTTCCAGGGGCTGAAGCAAGTAAAGGCCGGCCTGGCCACCAAATCTGGCGACCACAGGCAGGTCGGCGGAGAGTTCCTGTTCGAGCCCGTGGAGCTCATGAGCCCCGTCGGAACGCCATTCGTCGAACGACAACTCGAACAAGCAATGCAAAACTCGCAAAAAGAGGACATCAGCCAAGACGGCATCGATGGAGAGGGCGGCGATGACGGCGTTTACGTTGAGGAAGAGAAGAAGGTTACCTGGTGCCACCGCATGCGATCCACCCGAGACCACGCAGAAATACCCGAGTTGATGGAGGTGCTGGGCCTGACGGGGTCAGGGAAGCCCATCCAGGATAATAAGAGGTGGTCGAAGGCGCTCGAGACACGGAAAGGCACCGGCCTGAGCATGGCAAGTCAGATGAGCAAGCTGAGCGGCGAGCAACAACGAGCATAGGAGCGGCGAGGCTTTTTCCTTGTTATCAATGGGTCGGTGCGGCCTGTTGTTCGGGTCGGCTCAGACACCTAGGAGTGAGACATTGGCGGATCCTGGTCAGCACGACGCCATCCTCGGCTCGTCGAGCGAGTGGCATGGATACGCGCAGCTGCCTTTTCTGTGTTTATTTTTCGATTGCTAAGTTTAGCATAGCCATCTGTTCAAAATGATACCTGAAGCATTCAATAATGTTCTGCGCTCGAGACTACTCCGAACTTGTCGACGCGAGCAGTCGGTCCAGCGAGGCAGCAATTCGACGAAGCTTCCAGATCTGCGCCCCTTGTGTGACGACCTTTCCCCGCCACGGATCCCTAAGGGCAGAAATATTCGCGGCATGTCTCGCTGCCGGAAACCCGGAACGATGTCGTTGCAGGCTGGACAAGCCCATTGCCCGATTTGGGTAACGAGGGACGACGGCAAACCTTGTGTTCAAGTTCATCTCATCCATGAGACGACCCTTTCGCCTAACTTCCAGCCGTTCGAGAGCCTTGTCAGCAGCGAAGGACACGACATACCGTCCTATGAAAGAGATGCCAAGCGGCGTAGGAAGGCATCGCCGGTCTTGACCCTGCGCAAGTGCTCTCCAAGGCCACATAGGGATCTGCACTTTGGAAGCACCAGGCTGCAAGCGACAACACTTGGCAAAAGTTGCCACGAAACGACAGCTTCGTATCTACTCAACAATGAAGCCTCGGCTGGCGCATTTTGTTCAGCTTCACTCAGCCCAACATCGTTCCCAGCTCTGGAATCCTTCTCACTTCTCTAACATCCTTTCTTCCACGCATCATGAGCAAGGATATCTCACGAACCAACAGGATGAAGCCTTCCAATAACCAGGTTTCCCGGTCCGATGACCACAGCCAACCCGGATCCTCCGCCAATGGGCGATCGCTCTCATCAGTTCCAGGTTGGAGAAAACAGAAGGCAGGGAAAACTTGCTGGCACTCCCGCTAGTGCTGCGCCCCGCACGTGTTGTGTGTGCACGCTCGTTCGTCCAATCCAAAGAGCCATGGCCTCCTTCTTCATCGAGGTTGCTTTGATCTTGGGTTAGGCTTGGCACTGCTGGGAACATCCAAATCTGACATGCCCTTTCTAACCTCCATATGTCTCCGACAGAGGAACAAAAAGGGTTATCACGTTCCATTCCTGTGGGATCCGCGATATAAGGTCGCCAATCATCAGCCATGCTTAAAATTAGAAAAGTCTGGGGAAGGAAGGAAGGCAGCGAAGCTGCGGGAACAACGCCTCTCATTGTGTGTGTCGCGCTAGCGTCTAGCAAGCGCGTCAGCGCGGCAATTGAGATACCCGGGTTCGCGGTGCTTCCGACTGCGGTAATATTTTGGACGACAGAGAGCTTTCTAGCTGGCCTGTAGGAGAGCAGCTAGCTAGTTGGCATACCCGAAGGCGGAGCAGCTCTTGGCAAGCTGGGACGAGCTGTTGGCTTTCCCGCCTCAGCTCGGAGCCGGAGGGATCAACAGCAGCTAGCTGCGGATTATCTGAGCACACCTCTCTGTTTCCTCCGTCGACAACAAAGCGTCAGATCTCAGTAAGGCTGGGAGGTGGAGACCAAACTTCGTTAGCCTACCTACCTCCCGAACCCGTCGGGGAGGCGCTGGCCGTGCTACGGACATACATGCTAACGTCGACTGACTGCCGTGTGCTGAGCTATTTTTCCTGTCGGAGGCGGGAGAGGCTTGGGTCGGTGAGATTGTCATGTTACCCGTGTCTCCGGGCCTTCTTGAGAGGTCGGGAGTGGGAACTCTGCCACGATGTCTCTTGGGATGGCAGCTGTGCGCGTGGTGGTGCTGATGGGGGAGGAGGACACAGCCCGAACGCCCAGCTGGACGTCATCCTTCCGACTAGAAGTCTAGCTACATGGCGATGGAAGCAGAAGAAGGCTGTCAAGGAATATGAGGGCTGTAAATCTATAAAGGAGAAAGGCATCCACGTCAACAGTCCATCTGCTTCTCTCATCATCAGCAACAACAACTTCCACAACACTCCAATCCAATACTCAACACTTTCAAGTTCCTCTATCAACACTCTCCATCAACACTTCAACCCCCCAAACCACCCAACCGCCAAAATGCAGATCACCAACATCCTCATCACCGCCCTGGCCGCCGGCTCTGCCACCGCCGCCTCCGTCTCCTCCCGCGCCGCCCGCCTCGCCGCCCGCCAGACCGGCGCCCCCTGCGAGCGCATCGGCGCCAACGACGCCAACTTCGGCGTCGCCGACCTCTCCTCGGGCGTCGTCGTCAAGAAAGTGCTCTCCTTCGCCGTCGGGCCCTCCGCCTCGGGCCCCTGCTCCCTCATCGGCCAGTTCAACGCCGGCTTCCCCATCGACCTCGGCGGCGCCGAGTTTTCGCGCCTCGACGTCCGCAACGTCGCCACCGGCGCGCTCGTCGGCTCGTTCCCCCCGCTCAAGGTCGAGAACAACGTCGTCGTCGAGGACACTTTCGTCACGATCAACAGCTTCACCTGCACGGACAACGTGGCGTTTGAGTTTGCGATTGCGAACGATGGTGATGCGGACGCTGATATTAACGTTACCTTTACTGCGTCTGAGCAGGGCGGCTTCTTCATTAAGAAGGGCGACCAGTGCCCCATCTAAGTGTTCGGGGACGTGGCTTTTTGGAAATGGCAGAAAGGTGTGATGGGTTCGGCTTGGGATACTGCATATAGCGGCGTTTGATTTCGATTTGCATAGTTGGCGGGACGGGTATCTGGGACTCTGGACATATTTGCATTATCTTTCGTACTGGTACTTCTACCGATTAACATACTTCATTCCTTGCTCATACTCTCGTTTTCAGCTTTCATTAGTGTCAAATTTTCGCGTATCAGATTCTAAACATTATTGGAGAATCACTCCATATCAAGATATAGTGGCCGAATTATCAGCGCAGTCAAAGACCTTCGTGATCAAGCCAGACGCATATGCATCCTTGATGGATACGGCCACGCTATAACTACAGAGTCATGTCAGTCTCTTGCAATCTCAAAAGGCGTACGGTGCAAACTTACGTTCCGGCGATAACCATAAACAAGCCGACTAGTACAATGAGGATGTGGAAGCCATATGCGCTCTTCTGCTTCATGCTGCCGCTCTTGTAGCTCGAAAAGTCCTTCATCCACAGCAGCGCGGGGAAGACAAGACTGAACGGCGCAAAGCAGATGGCACCCGCCAGGCCCAGAAGGTAGTTGAGAATCGGCACCGCCTCAGCAACGATGAAGGCTAGGATACCAAGCACAAGATTGCTCCCGATCCAGGTCGACCAGTGGACGAGGGTGTTCTCCTGCAGGTGGTGCGAGTCTCTAAGCACCCGCACGAAGATGTACTTGGCCGCAACGTGCTGGTAGATACCAACGCCGATAATCAGCCCCGGCAGCGCGATGCCGTACGAGATCTTCTTGAACAGCGGGCCCGCGCTGCCGAACGCCGGCGTGGCCAGCCAAACACCGCACCAGCGGTAGATCACAAGCGAGAAGGAGAGATACATGGCCAGCACCAACCCGCCCGTGACCAGCGCCGCGCGGCGGTAATCTTGCGGCCGGCGCATCTCGGAGATGACGGGCAAGTACATAGACGAGCCGCTGTTGCTGATGAAGATATTCGCGCTCGCGGTGATGCCCGCTACGAAGGTAGGGTGCGCGACGGCGGTCCAGCCGAGCTCGAAGGAGCCAGTCTGCGGGGCGACGGCGGGGCGGTCCTGTTTCGTGACGGCGACGACGAAGACGAAGACGGCGACGAAGAACGTGGTGAAGCCGAGCCAGGTCAGCCAGCCGAGCTTGCTGAAGGTGCGGACGGAGGAGAATGCGGTGATGAGGATGGCGCCGAGGAGGGTGAAGACGACGGTGCAGGTGCCGTGGGACGAGACGGCGTTGAAGGCGGTGGAGATGGAGACGATGCCTGCGGCGGAGATAAGGACCTGCGCGATCAAGATCTGGAGGCCGACTAGCTCGCGGCCGGGGCGGGACCAGAGGCGGCCGCACATGTCGGCCAGGGCTGGAAGAGGAGGTTGTTAGTGAGGAAGAGGGAGAGAGTCGCGGATGGGAGGTCTTACTGTGGCATTCGGGGTGGCGGTTGCGGAATTCTCCCAAGATGACGGCCGTGTCTGGATTGTTCGTGTTAGTCCGAATCGAGAGACATGATCGTTACGCAGAGCAGTCCTACATGTGTTGAGAGCGTGCCATCCCACGAGAGATACAGCACCCGGAACAGCTCCTAGTGTCGCAAAAGCTCCAGGAACACTCAGGATGCTCATCGCAAACTGGATCTTGCAGAAGATGATGGTGGCCCTCTGCCAGCTGACCGTCCGGAACTGGACGCCATCCTCGGTCTGTCTGAAGACATCGTGAGTCTCCTCGATCTCACCCTTCTTCGAAGCGACATCGGCCTGGCCGTCGAATACGTGAGGGCTGACTTTGTCGTCGGTTACGGGAGACGCCATGATGTTCTGCTTTCGAGAGCGAGACACGCGGAAAAGGGGGTTTGGTCTTCACCGCAGTGTGTCGCAATAAGCTTTCTCTGGGGAAGTCCCCCCCAAAAGTGCGGTGGGTCGGGGGTTTGTTTTTATATACAAAAGAATGCCGGCCAATATGTCGAGAGTTGCATTCTTGTCAATACTTTTTATCCCGGGGTCGGAGATAAGCTTCGAGTTCAAGGGTCCAAAACTTGCCTCTGACCAAAGGCTGGGAGCCGAATGTAACGATAGGGGATTTCGAAGCTCGGCATGGTAGCTTATCTCTTTTGGAGCTCTAGCTCCTTAGCTTGGCCGATAAGAACTGCCGATTTGGAAGATTGTCAGAGTTAGGTGTTTGGATTTGTGAGGAGTCCACGATATGATAAGCTAGATCGTGGCCAGGGGGTGTAGCCGCTGATAGCGGGTAATACACTCTTTCTCGGGTAACGGCAACTACCAGCACGGCGAGGCGTTTGACCTCACTCATGACATTGTGTGTTACTTTGCACAAGAGAAATGTGATTCCCTCACTACGACCTGAGTACTTCGTGAAGGAAACCGCTAATCGTGAGTTGATGGGAAGTATGGTCAGAACATATATATCGCTCAAGTTGACTTGTGAGGACGGTTTGAGCGGCTAATTAAACACAATACTATGGGTTAAGCAAATTGAATGATGACTACACGGCCTGATTTGCATCCAATAGCCAATGCCGAGTCCCTGACAGCAAATCTGTCTCTCCATGGTCGATATTCTTCGGGTAGCCATACAATTTTGGCCTCGTCCTTCATTATCCAATCTTCCTCAATGAAATAGCCCTTAGGCTTCGAATCAATCCACGATGCTGTTTCTTGAGATGTCAACATGCTCAAATCGATGATGCCAAGCCTAGTATAGAGTTCCGACTCTGATTGTGAAAACCAAAAGTGTAGGTACCCCAACTGTGACAACATCGGGGAGAGAGTCTCTTCGGGAAATTTCAATTTCCAAATGCATTGGCCTTTTTCCAAGCTCCAGATCTGAATCGCATCGAGATCGGCTTGTGATGAAATTGCGAGTCGCTTCGCGTCGCCTGAAAAGACCACTGCATAAACAGGCCCACAGCCTCGCAGGCTTTTGACATATGAGCCTCCAGTTGCGTCCCATATGTTGACTTCGAAGTCACCTTTCACCGCTAGAAGAATTCGATTTTCTTCGGAAAATGCTGCCGTTGACCCGGCACGAATGTAAACCGGCTCACTGGTTCCTGGGACATGAACATGGAGCTTTTGCAAGCGTCGACCGCTTCGTGTTTCCCAAACCTCAACTGGAGAACAGCCTTGGCGGACTGAAACGATTCTCTGGCAATCGACGGAGAAGTTGACGGATTGAACAGGACTGAATTCCTCATTTACTTCCTTTGTCGAGATCTCACGATGTTTGCCACTAGTGGCGTTAGATACGGTTCCTGCGGGACAAAGCTAAATTAGCGATGGAAAGATTCAACAAGGAGATGGAGGATCACCTCTTGTTTTAGAGATGAACCCTGACCGAGTTAACCTCTCGGTTGATTTGCGCTCATTTCGTTGGTATAGGTGTGCTGTTAAGTCCCAGAGACTGATGATGCCGTCAATGGCTGCTGTAGCAAGTCGGTCACCGTCATTTGAGAGGGCCATTCCCACGAATACTTCGGAGTTCGGTATTGTGCCCAGCTGTTTGCCAGTTTCCACACTCCAAATCACAAGATCATCAGTAAAGTTTTGATCGGACGCAACCACTTGCGAAGATATCTGTGCTTCTCTTCCAAAAGCCCTTGGGAAACTCTTGATGTTCACTCCAGTAGATGTTTCGCAGACTGTGACATCTTTCGCATATTTATCGTTCGTGATGAAGATAATTCTTCGTCCGTTTTGGGCGTAACGTATCGAAGATATTCTGCCAGACCATCCCATATCCTGAACAAATTCACCCGTTTCTACACTCCATATTTTGACGGAGGTAGCAGCGGAGGCAAGTGTGCGGCCATCTGGAGAAAATTCAGCCACAACAACCGGGGATTCATGGCCTTCGAGTACCCGGCACCTCCCAGTTTCGGTGTCCCAAAGCCGGACAGTAGCATCACTCGATCCCATGGCTAGAGTACAGCCATCTGGTGAGAGGGCGACGCATTCAATCTTTCCTGAGTGGAGCTGAAACTTTTGCAGGCATTTACCCGTTTTGGTGTTCCAAATCATGCATTCACTCTCTTCAATAACAGTTGCCACAATCAATGCGTTGTAGGAAAACGTCATTTGTGCCGAGGCCATGCCGGGGAGTCTGATGGTCGTCAAGCAACGGCCTGTCATGACAGCCCATAGTTTTATGTCGTCAGATGATTTTGATGCTAAGATGTGCCCCTCAGGTGAGAATTTAAGTGCATTGCAGTGCCTGTGATATCCAAGTACTTGGCGATATGTGTTCCAGTGGTCTTCTTCCACGAGCGGTTTGGTGAGAAACCAATTCTGCACCTTGTGCAAGCAAAGTTTTCTGATGAGACTTTTTCTTGGACTGAACAAAATCACTGACCAGTATATTTGAAGGGGAGTCTTTTCAATGACTTGTCGATGTTGTTGCAAGAAGCGCGAGGCATCTTGAATCAAGGCTGTCAGTTTCGAAAACTCTGCAATGTCCTGGTCAAGTATTAGCATTGCAAGCATAGCAATTCTTAACATCTTTTTTGCAGGCGATCATACTTTTATAGACTCGGACAATCTGACCATACTTTCAACAACTTCATGAATACTCCGTAAGAGACATACAGCCTCAGCCCAATGGAGAAAAGAATGCTTGAAAATATCTTTCATTTGGTCATCTTGAGGCCGTCCAACCCACGTTGTCATGGAGAAGTGATCAATCCAATGTATGCAAGCATAACGGACTGGTGCCAGAGGATCAGGAGTGGGGACCTTTGCATGTTCGATTGAGGTTCCGGGCGTTTCGAGATCGTATATGTTGTATCGAAATGTGCTTGCCATGGCCTTTACAGAATTCATCCAAAGAAGTTGGTGTTCGCGCCTGATCCCTTGAGGCATGACTTTTCCGAGTACCGTATTCTCAAGGAGGAAGTCTTTCGCAGACTGATGCACAAAGTACACGACGTTGTCTCGAATTGTCACGAAAGAGCCACATAGCTTGACGGCTTCCTCCAAAGATCGTTCGTTATTGACAAAATTCCTCACGGGTCCAAGTAGACACCTCAATTCTGTAATTTCAACCGGGCGAAAGACGACTGATGCCACCGCGAGGATTCTTCGAACCAGATCGACGTTGGTCGAGCTCAGGGCGTGATGCAACATCCGAGTATAGAGCACGTCCAATCCTGGAGGAAACTCGGCTAACTTCGATTCCACTTCCCAATCGTTGATATTGTTATCCGCAAGCTGTTGGCAAACTAAAGCTGCCCAAAGAAATGTACTGTTTGAATTCTGTACCAGAGTGTTGTAGACCAAATCCCGCTTTGTGTCGGAATACTCATGCTTTTGCGCTAACTGGCTGACTTTGTGCTCGATGAAGGCCACCACAGCGGCTGATATTGAGTCTTCATTCAGCTCCAAGGACACATGAGCTGCACGTTGCGCGGCAGCTGCTACACCGCGCTCGATCCTCGGCCAGTTACGACTGGAAATAATGATCCTGACGGCTTTCGAAGATAGAATGTGAATGAAATCGAGGAGGTCATCAACGCCCGTTTTGCATTCATCCAGTGCATCTATGACGATGACAGTATTCTGAAAACTTTCGTGTGCAAGAACGCTAATGACCATGTCGCATAGAGTGTTCCACCCGTTGCTGCCCTCAAATAATTGTCTTTCGCCGTAGTCGTGGGTTTTGCGCAAGTCTTTGATAAGCTGGGGCTTTTTCTTGAGCATGAGGTACAAAATTCCGCGCAGAACGGCAGAGGCAGTATTAAGGTTGGAGTCAGTCGCTTGGCAGAAGAAGTAAATAGGCTGGTGGGTCGATTTCTCTTTGTCCAACTCGTTTACGATGCCGCAGAGGAGCATGGTCTTCCCCTTCCCGGGATCCCCTCTTATCCAGAGCAGTTGATTCCGAAAGTCAGCTCGCCATCTTTGGAAGTCCTCGTTATTGAGGATCCAGACGTATGAGTCCTTCAGTAGGCCGCCCTTTGTGCGCTCGATTCGTTCTTTGTCTAGACGCGGGTCGCTGAGCTTCAGATCGATGAGAAACTGTCTGTCTTTGTCGCCAGAGTCATTTGCTGCATGATCTTTGCACTTTATCAGCGAAGTTTGTTTCGCGGGAGGATGGGCAAACTTACGTATCGTGATATTCTCCGCGTTGTACTGGCTCCCACCCCCCACATTGTTGTACTGTTTGCCCGAACTGATGTTGTTAAGGTTCATTCTCGTAGTGTCCCACGAGGCGCATCGTGAGCTGCGTCGCGTTGACCACTTTACAGTTTCTGTTCTGCTCTGGAGTGTTGAATGGTATTTGCGCGGATTTGGCAAAAGGACTGCGTAGAGGAAATCAAGTTCCTCTGGTCAAATAATCTGGGAAGCGTGCGCAGCCTGATCGAGCGGGGAAGAAAGTGGGAACGAAGACAGATGATGGTGTTGGGCGTTTTTGGTTCATCAGACTTGATTGGAGCACTGCCTCAAAGCACGCCAATCAAGTCTGCTTCCGGTTGTGACGGGCGATGACTGGCTGACATGCATATATCTTGGATATGCGGGGCTGGTTTGTCTGTAGCCTTGTCTCTGTCCTCGTCCTGCCGTCGTCTCCGGCAGTTTCCATGATCAGTCCCTCTTGCTACATTACCTTACGCTCACGATCAAAAGCCTCAAACCGTTCGAAGCCCAAAAAATCAAAGCGGAACACTGAGTCACCAAGTAAAACAAAGTTGGGGCAACATAGAAGTTCAAGAAGACCCAGCAGCCGAAAAAGACCTTTGAAAGCCCTGACGCCGAGTTTGGGCTACGAATTGCGCAGCCACTGTCAGCCTTCGCGATCACATCAGAAGTGTGACGAGACTGAACGTGATCGCAGTTCCCAAAGAACTCTAATTACATTGTGTTCTCTGTTACCTGATTTTGATACTCTTACTCTTTGTGTTGGTCACCATGACGACCTACGCTCGTCCTCAACACCGCGATGATTTCGAAATCGCGGTGGTCTGCGCGCTTCCCCTGGAAAGTGACGCAGTTTCCCTGATCTTCGACGAATTCTGGGGCGGTGAAGGCGGACATGGACTCGGCCGGGCAGCTGGGGATCAGAACAGCTACACGACCGGCCGCATAGGTAACCACAACGTTGTTTTGGTCCATCTTCCCAACATGGGAAAGGTCTCTACCGCCGCAGCGGCTGCTGGACTTCGGTCAAGCTACACAAGGATCAAGCTCGCAGTCTTGACTGGAATTTGCGGCGGAGTTCCTCGCCCTGAAGGAGAGAAAGAGATCTTCCTGGGAGACGTCATTATCAGCCAGGCTGTTGTTCAGTATGATCTCGGAAGACAATATCCTGATAAGTTCATTCGGAAGGATACGACTAGCGACAATCTCGGTCGCCCCAACCAAGACATTCGGTCCCTCCTCGCCAGTGTTCAGGGAACATTTGGTCTTGATCGTCTTCGGCAACAAATGCTACGGACTTTGGATCAAGTCCAGCAGAATGCAACCGGCCGGCAAACTTGTTACATCCGCCCACCTCCCACTGAAGACATTCTCTTCGAGCCGGCCTATCTCCATCGTCACCACGACCAGTCCTACTGTGGATGTCACGACAATGCAGCCTGCGATAAGGCCATGAACGCATCCTGCTTGGACCTTCGGTGTGCCGAGAACAGCGTCTTGCGAACAGGACAGCCAGGCTCTTCAAGGTCGCAGGACCCTCGTATCTTCATTGGACAAGTCGCTTCAGGAGACACGGTCATGAAGTCCGGAGAGCGTCGCGATAGCATCGCACGAGAGCACAACGTGGTTGCTTTCGAGATGGAAGGCGCCGGCGTCTGGGACCAATTTCCATGTCTGGTCGTCAAAGGAGTATGCGACTACGCAGATAGTCACAAGAACAAAGTGTGGCAACCCTACGCCGCGGCCGTGGCGGCGGCTGCAACCAAGGCTCTTCTTGGGCTCTACCCTCGAACTGACAACCCGACGCAACGCTCTGCCGCCGGAGACAATCGACCGCCCCTCATTACAAACAATTTCAACAGTAATGGAACCGGGTCTCAATACAATAACACCGGCAGCGGTCCTCAGTACAACAACACTGGAGGTGGGAACCAATTCAACGGGACCAACATGACCTTTGGCAACTTTACCAGGTAGAGTGTAGTAACATTGAGGCAACGAACTATAGTTCGACGAAGAGACAACTTAGAAGACAATGTATGTATGGTGTTGGGAACGAAAATATCTAGTACTAGAACAGGAAAAGGGGCACAGACAATAGCACAGCTAGGTATTGGAGTTGGCAAATGTCCACTTTAAAATGCTTTCGTGACCTTCGAGGTATTTCTATGGAGGTTTTATTGAATTATTACTACTGAACTTGAAACTGTGCCGAAAAGCTCGATGTACAAGCTATGCGGCCCATGTCGTCGAAATACTAGAAACGAAGCTAATACAATCTATCTCGCCCACACGAAGCAGCAATACTTCTACCCAAACCGACTCAGGGGAATGCGACTGTCCTTTAGCGAACAGCGATCCATCTAATGAAAGGGCTAATTCCACATGAGAGTAGCTCCGCAGTTGATACATCTGCCCAATGAATGTTAGTCCACGTGGACCACTCTAGGAACCTGACAGATTGCCCGACAAGAACGGCTCCAGACTCACTTTGACGTGTTGGGTTGGTCCTCAGACTCCTCAGCTGGGCAGTGGCAGTAATAGCAGAATCTGACTCCCATGTCTGTTAGCGTGGCAAGCGTCTGCCGCTCCGCCTCCTCGACCGCCGGATCCACCCTTGCCCGACTTTGCTCGCAGGTCTCGCCTGGGTGTACCTTTCGTTTGCAGATCATGCAAGTCCGCTTCTTGCAGCTGCAACGGGCAGTTTTGGCGGTCTCGTTACGTTCGTGATGAGGAATGTATCGTCGGCACAACGTGTCGTGGCAGTAGATTGCCTTTCGTTCTTGGACGTCGGTTGCTTCGGAGACGAGCCTTTGGTAGCGTACGCACTCGTGTGGAAGGAGGAGTTCTTCGGCCCACGCATCGACAAACCCTGATTCGCCGCTGTAAGCACAGTAGGGCTCGATGCAATTTGGCTTGAGAAATGGCCGCATAGAGATGGAGGAGCGGAGGTATTTGGTGACGCAGTTGCGACAGAACTTCGTGCCACAAGGGTGTTCCAGGACACGGGCCGGTCGGAGTTCTGCTTTACAGATGAAGCAAGTGCTGAGAATTACCTGTTGGTCATGCATGTCGATTTGAAGCATTTTGATTAATCGCTTTTCTTTGGTATTCGATACTCCTCGGTTTGCTGGTCTTTTCTTTGTCTGTGGTACCTCATCGTCAATTGCTTCTGTTTCGTCTTCCCTTCTGACTGGGCGCGTCAGTCTTACCTTATTATTAATACTTCCTTCATCATTTGTCGTTCTTGCTTCGCCCGTCGCTCCTACCACATCTTGCCTCGCTTCGTCAGCTGCTCTTACCTCGTCTGTGGTTCCTATCCTGGTCGTCGTTTCCTCTGTGGCTACAGGCAGCGGGGCAGCAAGATCCGCCTCAATGACTTGCCCTGCAGCATTCCGTGCTAAAACCCAGTCACCCTTCTCTGGATCGTAAATGAGGCCTGGCGCTCTTCTAACGCCAAATCTCAGACCCCTCCTGGGTCGTCTCCAAGGTGCTTTATACCAGGAAGGCACTGTGTGTGAATTCATGAATTCCTTCCTCGTGGTGTCCATTGCATCAAATATTAGAGCTTATGAAGGCGAAGTTGGAATGATCACAGGGACGATACGTTGATTCTGAAAACCCCGTCTAGTCTAGTTATGCCCCTTTCTAGGCGCCTGTCAGATTATTATAACTTTTGACAATGTATCTCCGATGCAGGCTTAGAAAGCTGATGATATACGGACATTCTTTATGCAACCTGAGTGGTAATAAGTGGTGTCTCTTTAAGTTTCACCATGATATCTCCGTCACAGTGCCAAAGTGGGGAGCGGATCTCATCAGAGGTTTATTTCGCAAATTCGCAATTTTCATAACAGGGTACTCACTCCAGCCTCACAGCACCTCTTTGAAGTTTTAAGCACAGCAAAAAGTAGTTCCTCACAATGCACCCTCTGCGCAGATTCTAGACATGTTATCATTCAACCTTTTCGGCGGTTATTACTGGTGACTTGGGTTTATCTATTGCAAGATATGGCCACTAATCTTCTAAGATTTGCAGCCATAACTCGATGAATCACCCATTTGTTCTAGTAAGCAGCAAAAGCTTTCTTTACTCAACGCCTAGTTTATACTCACCACTTGAGATTACCAAAAGCGTGGCTCGTCAAATCAATTTTCCGACGACCGACTGTTCGTTGCAAGGATCACAATGCCTGAGTTGCCGTGCTGCATGTTGTGCAACATGACGTTGAACAAAAGTAAGACGGATGAACTTTAGTATTTCCTCCGCTGCTTTTGTGTCACCAGCTGGTCTAGCAGGTGTCAAAGTTAGGGTCTGAGACAGCCCATTACCAACGGCCTCTAGCCGTTTTCATCTGAGGTCTCATCAACCCCTCTCTGCAGTGCGCCCCAAGTTGCAGAAAGCCTCGACGTAAAGCTACAGGGCTAATAAGCCTACAAAATCATTTGGCCTAAGCCTCACCGACGGCTGCAGCTATCGTGGGCTGATTTTCGAGATCGGCATCAGAGCTGAAAGACTAGCTGCATGGCCATCTGCCTTTCCCCGCAAACGACCCGTCCCTTGTTTCAAACTTCATTAGCTCAGGCCTTGTTTAGAGATAGGACTAAGCTTGATGTTTATACTTCTCAACATCACGAGACTACATTACTAACCTTAGAGACCTAGGGCTTGAGTCCAGACGTATCATGGGCAAGAACTGATATGATGGTCGTGTCAATGGGCTACGGTGATCATCAACTGATTGGGCTGGCACATAAGACTTGAGGCAGGAATGGGCCAATGAGTATTTAGCCAAGACTGGCCTCGACTCTCGTAAAGCATACATCTACTCGCTTGTGCGGTTCAGGGTTAAGATATCCGAATTGTACTAGGTAACGACACGGCCAATGCGAGGGGCGTTCAAAGACATTTGTACGTAAAACATAACGACAGGACCGTCGTAAGGTTTGTAGCGGCATGAGATACCATCCAATCAGCAGTAACCAAACCAGTATCACAACATTTATATCGACATGCTACAGCCAATCGTGGCCCGTGGACTTCAAGTGTCTTACCTATGATAGATCAACCACACGGCTGCTTAAGTTGAATCTCATCAATACCGTCAGACGGAGGAATTCTTTCCTCCGAATTTCACAGACTAGTCGTCATGGGCAGACTATTCTGCTGAGCCGTGATGTCTGCCAGAAACGGCATAAAAGGCCACCAATACCTCGAAGCAAATAACAAAATCATCTCAGCCATTAAGCAAGAAAGCCTTCAACAGGACACGATTCCGTATCTTCAAAGTTCAAGTTAGTCATCAAAGCCTTCAACCCCTCAGTTTCCCACTGACTTCAACTAGCCGAAGCTCACGCCAACCAACATGCGCTTCTCCGCCCCCCTGACCGCCCTCTTCTTCGCCATGACCGCCCAGGCTGGCGTAGCTCAGTCTGAAGGGCCCGTCGCTCTCGCGGAAGGGTCCGACGATGTGGACACCCTCGAAGCCGCGGTGGAGAAGAGAGAGGGCATCTCTCTCGAGAAGAAAGCTTGCAAGTACAACGGATGCAAGTGCAACAGCCGCGGTAAGCAGCTCACTGTCTGCGGCAACTGCTACTGGGCAAACACCGGTACTTGGGTCGTGACCGCCAAGCGCGTCAACAACCACATTTACGAGTGTTCGCCATCTGGAAATTGCTGCGATTACGGAGTTGGCTCAGACTGTGGCAAGGCTGGTGCCAGATGCATCAAGAACTAAGCCGAAACCGAACCACCATACATGCACAACCCCCTGGGAGGGATTCGCAGGATCATCAGAAACAATACGACGTATGAGGCCTTTTTTGACAGGTTGTCATGTTTGAAGTTGTCGTCTCATGGGGGCCGTATCTAGACTCTACCATTCGTCGCTCGCTCTTACACGCAGGGTTGTTGATCGTGGAGATCGTGATGTGCGGGAAACGAGATAAAATCCAGAGAAAATCATTGGAGACAACAATTATGGTTCCATGCAGGAGTGAAGTACGTAAAGTTGCATGTTCCTAGTCGATACACTTGCAAGGCAAGACGAGGCGAGTCGAGCCTAAAAATAGGGGATCAAATGACGTTGTGACATGTAAGAGAAGCAAACTTAGCCGACTTGAACCAACTCGTGCCGCGTGCAACTCCGCAGTCCAGTCGCAGCACGAGTAATATTGTCTGGAACCTTGCCGTTAGTCTTCGAGTTGACCAGGCTAAGCGCTTAAGGGGGCCGCTCGGTCGCAGGCTTGGCTTTCTTGGCTTTTGATGATTTTTTTTTCTCAAACCCATACGGACGAGAAAACAACGACGGTTTTGTGGGCTGGCCAGAAACAAGCGACCCTACCCAGGCGAGTCTCGACAACTCCTGCGCTCTTTTATTAGGTACAGAGGGCGTTTTGCAAGGTGAAACGGTCATTGGACATTGCATAAGGGGCTACTCCCCGGTTAACGATTTACGGGGGCTTACCCCGCCCTTGCGTTTACTAGGTGGGGTCAAAAATCTGTCGCTCCCACCACCAACTTCATCACACACGCGCAAATCCAGTGATGCCAAGATGGCTGCCCAAGTTCCCACCGAAGCTTTGAAGAAGCTGAACGGTACGCTCGAAGCCGGAAATCCGACGTCTGTTTGTGGTCGTCAGTTTGCTAATGGAAGATTCAACATCTAGTGGGAGAGCCCGCGACGAACGGCAAGCCAGCAAACCCCGCCGAGGGAAACGGGGTCGACCATGAGAGCGACGACTCTGATGAGGAGGGTGACGAGGTAGCGGCGCCCGCCGCCGGAGCGGCCGCTAAGAAGAAGAAGAAGAGAAAGCCCAAGAAGAAGAAGAAGAACCCGACCGCCCAGTCCGACCCGCCCCGTGTGCTTATGTCCTCGCTGTTCCCGCAAAAGAACTACCCCAAGGGCGAGGAGGAGGAGTACCGCGACGAGAACCTCTACCGCACGACGAACGAGGAGAAGCGCCACCTCGACAACCTCAACAACGACTTCTTGACCGACTACCGCGAGGCCGCCGAGATCCATCGCCAGGTCCGCCAGTGGGCCCAGAAGAACATCAAGCCCGGCCAGACGCTGACCGAGATCGCCGAAGGCATCGAGGATGGTGTGCGCGCGCTGACGGGCCACCCGGGCCTCGAGGAGGGCGACGCCATCAAGGGCGGTATGGGTTTCCCCTGCGGCCTGAGTCTGAACCACTGCGCTGCGCATTACACCCCGAACGCCGGCAACAAGGTGGTCCTGCAGCAGGGCGACGTGATGAAGGTCGATTTCGGTGTGCACGTCAACGGACGTATCGTCGACAGTGCCTTCACCATGGCGTTCGAGCCGCAGTACGACCCCCTTCTGGAGGCCGTGAAGGCTGCCACGAACGCGGGTATCAAGGAGGCCGGCATCGACGTGCGCGTCGGTGACGTTGGCGGTGTCATTCAGGAGGTTATGGAGAGCTACGAGTGTGAAATTGATGGCGTATCGTACCCCGTCAAGTCCATCCGCAACCTCAACGGCCACACGATTGAGCGTTGGAGCATTCACGGCACCAAGAGCGTGCCCATCGTCAAGAGCAACGACACGACCAAGATGGAGGAGGGCGACGTCTTCGCCGTCGAGACCTTTGGCAGTACCGGTAACGGATACGTCAGAGATGACATGGAGGTCTCTCACTACGCCAAGCGCGGCGAGGGCCACGCTGCCCTGCGCCTGGACTCTGCTAAGAGACTTCTCAACGTTATCAACAAGAACTTTGGCACCCTGCCCTTCTGCCGGCGTTATCTGGATCGTCTCGGACAAGACAAGTACCTTCTGGGGGTAAGCTTTCCGGATATTGATATTGGACCAAGCTGACTTGTATAGTTGAACAACCTCGTGGCCAGCGGCATCGTCGAGGCCTACCCGCCCTTGTGTGACAAGAAGGGCTCCTACACTGCTCAATTCGAGCACGTACGTATCCTCTTTCCAGTTTTCTCATTGCTCAGTCTAACACATTCTACAGACCATCCTGCTCAGGCCAAACGTGAAGGAAGTAATCAGCCGAGGAGAGGACTACTAGGCTGGATGAAACCAGCCAGGGATGGATATTGACATGGGTTTCCTTCCACTCAATCGAGACTATCGTTCAGATACATCAAAAATCCAAGCAATCCAGCCATGAAGTGAAGTGACATGGTGATTTCAACTACTGGCAACACGGGCGGGGAATATTTCTACCTCCCAACGCAAAAGCAGACCCGTCAGCGGATGTTCAATGAAGACAGCTGATGCCATACGTTCAGCGTTATTGCGTTCCTCGGCACACGAAACCTAGGATCAAGGCGGCCACGGCGGCGTAGCAACCATCATGAACGCTATCCACAGACGGCGGCCGAGGAATGTGCGTCTTGGCAGCGATCCACCCTCGGCTGTGTGCTGGGCCATCACGGCCCCATCCCGGGAATGGACCCGGTGCCGGCACGGGGCGGATCGCCGACAAGATTAGGGCCGAGGTGCCCCAATCCTCCATATCGGTCAGGTATCATCCCCGTTTGCCTCCGAATGACGGCCATGATGTCAGACCCTCCCCGGATCGGAAACCGATCTGGCCCGGGGGAGATGAAGATGAACGAACGCCGCATCCTGAGTCACCTATTTCCGGGCTTCAGCCACACAAGAAGCAACGATCTCCGTTCCTCCCCAGGCTTTACCCAGTTGAGGCTGAAGGTGGCGAATGCAGGTGTGGCACCTGAGAGGCTGTGTCACCAAAACGTCAGAGCCGACTTCCAACGGGAATGTCAAGGGCCGATCCAGGCTTTCCCGTGACCTGCACCGTCAGCGGTCACCGCCAGGCCCAGCCAGGTCTGGCTTCACCGTCCACGGTTGGCTAGAGACGGATACGTATCCGTTGACCGTTCCCAAGGGCCTGAGCTAGCCCCCACTCACCGCAAATCCCAAGACATCAAGTACACTCAAGGGTCCGATCAGCGGCGTCGAGAACCTCAGAGAACCATACCGCACTGCAAGACACACTCACGTCGGCTGCCCTCCCGCAGCTAGTCGGCTCGGGTATGGCAGCGCCTGCGTCGGCTGTAGCAGTTGCAGCAGGTAATGCACAGCATATGAAGACACGCCAACCAGCAGTTGGATTTCGGGCGTGCGGGGTCTGTTATGCCCGCGGAAATGGAAACAACATTCGCCAAGAATATCGCCAATTATTTTGACCGCAATGCTGTCTCTGAGGGGGTCGAGCGGGCGCGGGTGCGGCTGGGCTTGGAGTCGGCGACCGTACCAGTGGACGCTTGGGCCTCTGTACACAGAATGGAAGCTTTCCTTGCTTTTCAGAAGCCCTCTCTCTGCCCCGCCGAAAAGCCAATCACATGTAAGCAGCAACACCGCGGCCAGCCCGTTCCGATTTTTTTCAATCGCGCTCATGCACGCCATACCCAATCAGGAGAGATAGGCGAGGTCGATGGGCCTCAGCCGGCCCAAACAGCGCTCTCCCTCCCACTTTTCAGATGGAGCTCAAGCACGTCGCACTTCGCACGCGCCACCCCGAATTCCCATTCCTTCCCCGGGGCACCGGCCGGGGTTAAGGAGGGACCAACCAGCACCCAACGTCCAGCAGCAGCAGGCGGGGACAGAGGCAGCGAGAATTTTCTCTCAGCGCTGCACCAACGCGCAGCGCACACTGAAGTGTGAAACCCTGCCCAGTTCGCCGGTCGCGCTTCTCTCTGCGTCTCCACCTTTTCTTTTGCCACGCACCTGGTTGGTCAGATCTCCTTCCTAAAAAACCCGCACACGACACCCGCTCCACCCTCCGACCTACCGAAAGCTCCTTGCAAGGTTTCCCAATCGCCCTTGCCCATTTATTTTTTTGCGTCCCTTTATTATCAACGAATCCCTTCCCCCCATCCGCAGGTGCCTATCAACCGCGCATTAATCCCTCTACGAGCATTTGACTCACCACCGTCGCTTCGCTCGACAACAATAACAAAAAACAAAAAACAACTGTACAGCCTCAGCTTCGACTCTCTCTTCGAAGCCTTTTCCGTCGCTGTAACACTCTCCCTAACGAACTTCACGACCGCACACGATACCCAGAACCGAGTGGAGGACCCGCGAAGAAAAAGTTTCCCGCAAAAAAACATCCACACGAGCTTCCCCATCTCCGCCGCATCACCACCACAAACACTTCCACGATGAAGGTCTTCTCCAACGCAGTAACCTTCGAGTACTCCTGGGAGGAGGTCTCAACCGCCAACTGGCGAAAGTACTGCCCCTGGAACGACAAGTCCTCCCACGTCGTCGCCGTCGACACCCTCGCCCGCAGCGTCGACCCCGCCACAGGCATCCTCCGCACAGAGCGCCTCATCACTTGCAAGCAGTCCCCGCCCGACTGGCTCAAGCCCATTTTTGGCGACGGCAGCAACTCCCAGGTCTTCGAGACGTCCTACGTCGACCCGGCCAACAAGACCGTCACCATGGTCTCCCAGAACCTGACCCTGACCAACCTCGTCAGCGTCCAGGAGACGGTCGTCTACAAGCCCATCAGCGCCCACAAGACCCTCTTCGCCCAGGAGGCTCAGATCACCGCCCTCTGCGGCGGCTGGCAGAAGATCAAGAACAAGATCGAGGATACCCTCGTCACCCGCTTCTCCGACAACGCCATCAAGGGCAAGGAGGGCTTCGAGACTGTCCTTGCTATGAGCAGGAGGGCGTTCGAGTGCGAGCGCCAGCAGGGCAGCATGCGTGAGGGTATGGCGGCATGAGATGGACAGGACTGAGTTGCTTCAGTTTCTTCCCGTCATCGCCATTTCGCGCGGTTCTTGCGTTTGCAGCGAGCGTAGCGGCGTTTTGCAATTTCTCTCGACCACAAAAGCGGGCAGCATCACATCTTTTTCACACTTTTTTAAAGAATCGGAGCGGAAAATGGGCTTTAGACGGCGTTGGGTTTAATGACTTTTGAAGACGAGAAGAGGAGGGGATGTCGAGCGAGATCGTTGCTTAGAGCCCTCTCATTTGAGAGTGTCTCGCCTTGTACAAATCATCTTTATATTCACGGAGTCCGGGCAACAAAAATACCCCTACACGATAGAGCATCCACGGGGGGGATTTCTCTTTTGCCAAAGCATTGTCTTTTCGGTCTTCGGGCTAGAAATTTGAAAGTGTTCCTTAGAGAAAATAGACATCTCCCACACCTACTTCACACACCGCATCTTGCCTCACACTTAAATCATCAGCAAACTTTGCACCCTGAAAAACTTATTTCGTGCATGCCCAATTGCCACTACTGAATGATAGGGTATCGCATTCTCAACAGTGCACTTCCGTAACACGGGTATCTTTATTCAGTTTCCCATCCGACCTCGACACTTGGCCTCGTACCGGCTAAGCATGTCCTTCGTATCCCGATCCAACGCCGCCTCACTTCCGTCCAGGACCCGCCTCACAAACGCCGCGCCCTCCTCGTACCTCCGAAAGAAGTACAGCTCCTCCACAGCGTGCAAAAGTTCTTGCAACACGGGCTTGCTGGCCGGACCAGGTGTCAATGGCAGCTCAATCGTCTTCCAAACCTGTTCCGAATCAGTTTTGCTCCCGTTCAGCGTGCGTAAGCAGGTCGGATGCAGGGAGGATGAGGGGGTGAAGGCGGTCTCTCGGATGCGGTGGAGAAAAAAAGTGAGCATCGGTGAGGGGGTGGTTTGGGGGGGCTCGGTTGCTCCGGTTCGGCGTTCTGGACAGGGCCGGGGAGGGGGAGAAAAAAAGAGGACTTCCTCCCGAGGCGTTCGATAAGGTAAGAATAATGTAATTGTGAAAATGAAGCATTGCCATAATGAAAATGCAGCGTATTTGTGCTCTCGTGACTCACCTCGCCGTTCTGCTCCTTGACTCTGTACGTCGCCCGGAGCTCCTGGAAGGCCTCCTCGGACTGGTGGTCCCGGGGCTTCGCCGTGCCCTCTTCGTCGGAGTCGATGGCGATGCAGAACAGGCCCCCGTCGTCGTCGGACATTGTGCTGTTATGTCGTTTTTGCGTGTTGAGTGGACTGGAGCCCTCCAAGCAGTCGCCGAATGGTTTCGAGATGGCGTATCCTATCCCCCAAATTTTTTAAATTGCTTGTCTTGACTGTTGCAAGTTCCGCTTCCCCAGGGAATGATTGGGAATATTGCGATGTCTTTGATAACTGCCCAACGTAGACTTGCTGATGACTGACTTGAATCTCAATTTCCCAAAAGAGTCCAGACACTGTAAAGCTTTCTCCCGTTTTTCTAGGTGACTCTTCGTCGCCGACTGCGTTACCCACAGCACGCCGAGAGAGTCCCTCCAAAGTGGGACCTCCACCAGTCCGTCCGAGTCGCCCGCGACAGAACGCCGTCCGCTGTCAGAAATATGCATCTAACCACCACAACAGAATTTTTCGTGTATTCTTACTAATAAACCCGCCCACAGCAAGTCCTGCCGAAGCGAACTTTTAGAAAGCCACCCACCCCCGAGGAAATGACATCAAGCCGCATGGCGGGGTCGGTGGGGGGGCGTTTACCTTGCCAGGCGGGGCGTTCTTTGAAGCTGCCCGCAAGCTAAACGACTCAACGACATCCCGCAAACGCTTGTCTCGACGACACCTCTTAGTCTGATACCAGCCCGATTTTCATAGTGCATTGGGGTAAATCAACACAAAAATGGAGGAGCAGGTCGAGAGACTCGTGGACAAGGCCTGGGACAAGTTTGAAAAGACACCGGCCGATAAACGTCTACGTACGTCCACTCTCTGTCTGCCGGAGCTATCACGCGAGCATCGTGAAGCTCTGATGCGCCTCATCCCCCAAAGCTCCGAGCTCTATAGGCCAAAACTTTTCCCGCCCAACCCAACGCAAGATGCACCGCTGACCCCCCAACAGTCATAGGTATCGCCGGCATCCCAGGCTCAGGTACATCCCCTCCATCCACTTCTCATCCCCTCTAACATCCCGCGCAGGCAAAACAACCCTCTCCCAGATAATAACAACCCGTCTCAACACCCGCGCCTCCGCCCTCGACACCTCCTACACCCACTCCCCTCCCGCCGCCTTCGTGCCCATGGACGGCTACCACCTCACCCGCGCCCAGCTCTCCGCCCTCCCGGACCCGTCCACCGCCCACGCCCGCCGCGGCGCCGCCTTCACCTTCGACGGCCCCGCCTTCCACGCCCTCGTCACCTCCCTGCGTGTGCCCCTCGGCCCCGAATCATCTGCGCCCATCCTCGCCCCGAGCTTCGACCATGCCGTCAAGGACCCCAAACCCGACGACATCGCCATCCTCCCGTCCCACCGCATCGTCGTCTTTGAGGGGAACTATCTCGCCCTCAACAAGGATCCCTGGAACGCCGCCGCACGGCTGATGGACGAGCTGTGGTTCGTCGACGTCGACTTCGAGGTCGCGCGCAGGAGGCTGATCAAGAGGCACGTCAAGGCGGGCATCGCGAAGGACGAGGAGGAGGCGGACAAGAGGGCGCGGGAGAACGACCTGGTGAACGGGCGCGAGATTGTGGATTTCAGGATGGAGGTTGATGAGGTCGTCGTCAGTCGCGAGGATGACGAATGGGTTCACGAGTAGGCCAGGTATGATCCCTGCGAGATCGGGTGGGTTATAGAACGAGGGGGATATCACCGTGTTGAAAGAGCGTCTGGGCGGTAATGAATGATCATGAAAGCGTTGAACACTCGCATTGAGCTTGATAGATAGCATGATGGGGACGACCATAAGATGAAGTACAATAAGCGACAAACTCCAGTCATGAAACTTCTAGAGTGACGTCACTTATCGAAACACCAGCAGAAGCATGACCACAACTCAACAGGACGGCCCTAGCCAGCAGAAAGAAGCCCGAGAATGAATGAGTCGACAGTGCCACCCCCGCCACTCAGAATAGCGTGATTAAACGAAGACTGGCTCGGTCCCTACCGGCAGAGAGAAAACTAAACTGTAAAGTCAATTACAAAGGAAACGCAGGTCTTCCACAACACCCGAAACATGACACACAATCACACCAGGGAAGCAGGGCTTGAAGAAAGCTATTCTCTATCTACTGCTGGCGTTGATCTCTAGAAGCCAGGCATGATGGCCCATTTCTGTTCTGCTTTCCACCCACTGTCTCACGAAAACCTTTTTACATTCCATTCATCTTGTGACCCGATCCCGTACCCCAAATCACATTACCACGGTCCAAGACAGAAATATGCAAGCCCCCATATCCACGCGTCCCGCTCAGTCCGGGACTACTCATCAGCCGCGATTCCGGTGAACGAGCCCGCGTACTTGGCACCAGAGAATCCAGTGGCAAATCTCGAGCTCTCGAGGCCACGACGCATCTTGGGTCCGTTACTGTTGACAGTCTGGCCCTGGACAACAGGCTGGAAGACCTGCGCTCTAGGCGAAAAGCCTGTGCTAGTGTTCAGCTGTTGAGTCATGTTATACATGGTGGGCGCAGGCTGATGGCCGCCGTTCTGTTGAGCGGAGGAAGGTCCCTGGCTGACGTGGTAGGTCACGGAGATGGCGTGCAAGACTCCATTAGCGGGCAAGTGCTGCTGCATCGCAGACTCAATGATCTGCTGAGCTCCATACGGATGGTAGATAGCGGGACCGGCCATGTGAGGAGATCCCATGATGGGAGTTGGCATCTGGGGAGGCATGCTCTGGACGCCGTGAATGTAGCCTGGGTGGGGGGTGGCCTGCGCAGGCGGCATGACAGGAGTTGGCTGCTCTGAGTTATCAGTAGCGATGGCTGCATCAGTCTGCTTAGCAGTCGACTCAGCCATGGACACTGCGGTGCCGCCCTCTTGAGAAAGGCTGGTGTTGAGCGTCTCATCCTCAACGGTAGGGGCAGTGGAGGTGGGCTGCATGGAGACAGCAGAGTCAACCTCGGACTTGCTGGTCTTGAATGAGATCAGCGACTCGTCAGCGGCGCTTGCCTCAGTAATCTCGGGCTTCTGCATAGGAGCCTCCTGCGCAGGCTCAGACTCCTGGAAAATGGGAGCCTCCTTGACAGGCGTCTGGACCATCTGATTGTTGATCTCAACCTCGACCAAAGTATCGCTTTTTCCAGCAGGAGCCACGGTAGAAGCAGTGACGGGAACCTCCTGGCTCGCGACGCTCTCTTGATGAAGATCAGCCGTAGTCTTGTTGCCGGACAGCCACTCCTGGTGAAGCTTGGCCTTGGCCTGCAGATCGGCGCTTGACTCCTGGCGACGGTTGGAATGAAGATGAGGAGGCAATCGACCACCTCGGTCTTTCTGCAGAGGAATCTTGACATCCTTGATGCCGGGAGGCATCTCAGCCGATGAACGTCTCTCGAGAAGCTGTTCGGCACTGTACTGCCTACGTTCCGCCGTACGCTCCGCCGTGTACATTGAGGAGCCCTTGACCTTATCAAGTGCGAGCTTGTCGAAGGCATCCTCAAGGCCTGTAGTCTTCGAGGCATTCTTATCGACGTCGGTCTTGGGAGCAGCAACCATCTTCGAAACAGGCTCGGGGGTGGGAGTGCCGACTGCCGTCTTCTCCGAAGGCGTCTCGGGAAGCGACTCTGCCTCTGCTTCTTGCTTTGCCGAGGGTTCGACCGCCTCACTCTTTGCAGGGATGGCGTGCTTCAGGATGTACTCCATCACACGCTTGATGTTGTCGCATTGAAGGTTAAACTCCACTCCAGTACTCTCATCTGGGAACCTGAAGCTGTATCGCACTTCCCGGGGTTTATCGTTTGAGGAGTCGATAAAGCTGCAGATCACCAAGACACCCTTTGCGTAAACGCAGCGGTAAGTTTCCAGACCGTGGCTCTTGGTGAGAATGTCCTTGTACTCCATAACGAACATGGCGTGGCCCTCGGGGCGATTCTCGGTGAAGACGACCTTGAGTTTGACGATGACATCTTCCCAGGATCCACCAGGACCTCCAATCTTTCCCTTGCAAGTAGACGAGAACAGCTGTCTGTCAGAAGGCAAAGCGGAGTCGTTGGCCTTTGCATGCTCATGTTCCATACGTCCCTCGCTGGGCAAAGAGGCCTTGGTAGTAGGAGGAGCAACGGCAGCAATTGGCGTCTGTATCTTGGCAGCCTGAGCAGTCTGAGCAGGCGGGGTAGACAGTGCAGAACTGACGGTCTGAGTAGATTGAGCAGGCTGGGCAGGTTGCTTGTCGGCCTGAGTAGACTGAGTGGTCTGGGCAGACGAGGGAGAAGAATCACCCTCAGCGGGCTTCTTCCTCAGATGAGGAGGCAAAGCAGACGTGCTTCCTCGGCCGGGGTTATGCTGACTACCCTTGAAGGTGACAGAAGCGCCCTGAGAAGACATCGCAGACGTCACCTGGGTGGCGCCAGTTGCCTGAGAACTGGTTGCTTGAACAGCATATGTCTGCTCGGTGCCTCCGACAACTTCAGCCACTCGAAGATTGGTACCAGCACCGTCATCACTGGCCTTAGTAAAGATCCTGACCTTAGCGCCGGGTGGAAGAAGGATGCCATTCGGGCTGATCTTCATGCCAGCATAGGCATCATTGCTATTCTGTGTCAGCTAGATTGCCGCCGAGAGAAGCCGGGCAGCTACTTACGCGGGGCGGGGCTTGGGAACATAGTCCTGCGAAGGACCTCCAGAGACCCGGTAGGCACTTGGACCGCCTAAGTCGCTGAGGTTTTGAACACCCTTGGCCTCGTCATCATCAAGGCCGGTCTTTGCCAAGTCTGATTTTGAAGTCAGATACATGTTACATCAACGAACGTGGACAATAACCTACTCAAATATCCTTGGAGGGACTCAGAAGTTTGCGTGGGGACGACAGGACGACGAGGGCGCAGCCGATCATGGTGCTCGCGCTTAGTATTGTCAAGAGGGAGCTCTTCGACACGGCCAATGCCCAGGTCATTCTGTTGAATGTAAGCGGGGTTCAGGAGGAGGAAGGAAGGAACTTGCCATCATGGCATCTCTGATCGAGTCGGGCGCGACGGGAGGAGTCATGGGAGACTGAGTCGCGGTAGGTTGCATATGCAG